CCAGACGCTGTCTCTACGCAACTCTTGCGTACCCTCATGGATGACAAACCGGTCTTGGTGACTCATGTCACTCGAAACACGATGATTCGGGGCATTGCGACCAAGCGTGAGAAAATCCTCAATCCCTACGGCACCTTCAAAGCTCCGCAGTCCCTTGATGGTCTTGCCAGATCCTCATCGGAATTTGTGCCGGCCGCTCTCATATGCCACAGGGGACCCAGCCATGACACTGGCCACTACTTTGCCATCCTCATCTACAGAGATCTGATGTGGATTGCAGACGATGGCAAACCGCCAATGCACCTGGATCATTTAACACCACAACTGGCCAGTCAAATCACACAAGTTTGGGCTGTCCACATTGACACCTTTCGGACCACACAACAAGTGATCCGGTCTGAGACCCTCAAAAGCATGAACAAACATGCCAGTATTTCACGTTTTGAGGACGCACGGCATTTGGAGTTCCGGCGACAACAGTGCCACACATGGAGGCATCATTGTGCTGGCAGACCCATCATGCGGCCTCACCCCAGTGGAACGTGCCACATCCAAGGTTGCGGCTACCAGGCCTTTCTCTGGCAGGCCACAGAATGCGCATGAAAACGAATGAGACACTGCAGAGCAACACCAATGCCACGATCCTCTCCAGACTCTTGGCCCTTCTTGAAGCCACGACACACCCATATGTCATCCTGGGAGATTGGCAAAACAATCCAGGGCACTTTCCAAGCACCGTGCTGCCTGCCAAGTTCCACTTCAGCATCCTGGCACCTGATCACAGTGTGCTCTCCGGCAATGTCCTGGACTATGGCTTGGTGCGCAACACACTAGCAGGCACCACAGCACTCACCACTGACTGGGCGATTCCTTGGAGACCGCACGCCCTCCTCGACATTGAAGCGGTTAGCCAAGAATACAGACAGATACAATACTTCCCAACCCTGCCAGCCACACCAGACATCGACTTCTGGCCATGCACAACATACCAATCCCAGGCTTTCGAACTGGAGCTCTATGGCAATCCACCCAATGACAGTGCCCAGGCCTGGGCAGATTGGATTTCCTGCGCTGAGCAATACCTTTTGCAAGAACATCCATGGGCGGCGCAAGGGAGAGGAGCCAGTCTCCACACAGTGACAAAACCCTTGGTACCAAGCCCACCACCACCTGGAAGAAAGGCTCAAGCCAGCTTACTGGGAGCAGCTCATCGTCAGGTTCCAATGTGCGCTCAACCGCCCGGCCCCACAGCGCGGGGGACCAACCAAAGGCTTCGTGCAGGCCATCCGGGATGCGCCAGCCAATTGGATGGGGCCACCAACATGGGGATTTCTAGACACATGCCACCACTGGCACCAATACCATGACACCCATACAGCAACTTTGCTCCTCCATACGATGAAACACCAACAGCAAGAGTCACAGCAGGCTGCACATGATGAAGCGCACCTCCAATACAAGGCCTGGCTTTTGCAAGGACAGGCCAAAGGCCCTTTCGAAGTCTAAAAAGCAGCGAGGTTGCCTGGGAGGGGCCCTACCGACAGATCCCACAACCACAACGGATGCGACCCAGTCTACGGGACCAGGCGCAACAACAAGCCCAACAGCTGGAGCCCGTGACCATCGGCCAGCTCCGCAGAATCTTAAAGGCACTACCTGACAAGGCAAGTGGGCCTGATGCACTCAGCACAACTGCTGAAACAAGCACCTCCGCTATCGCTGGCACCACTACTTGAGCTGTTCAACGACGTGGAACAACAGGCACAACTACCTACCCAACTCCAGATGCACATGGTAGTTATGTTGCCAAAAAACACCACACTGGAGCGCCCCATCACAGTGTTGTACCGTGTGTGGTGCCGCCTCAGGAAGCCCCTGCTTGACCAGTGGCAGAACCATGCAGCTTCCAGCCCCATGAACCAACAAAGCCAGGCCTGGCGCCAACGTCCTGCAGGTGGCCTTAGAGGCACGCGGAGCCAATGGCAAGCGTGGAGTCACGGTTCTTATGGACATGTCCACATTCTATGACGCCATCCAGCTCACCCGACTCCAAGAAGAAGCCATCAGGTTGGATTACCCTCCACTCCTGCTCAAACTTGCCATGCAGGTTTACACAGGACGCAAGGCCATTGTGGCCGAACAAGAGATGACGCCCTTTTTCAAGGTGAAGAGAGGAGTCCCGGCAGGCTGCCCACAGGCGCCACTCTTGGCCAAAGCAGTCTTGGCCCCAGCCCTCATACCCTGGAAAGAAGCACACACAGAAGCACACCTTTCCAGCTGGGTTGATGATGTTGGGTTCGACGCAGCAGGCACAACACCGCCCCAGGTGGCCACAACAGCAGTTGCAGCATACAGAGACCTCCATAGCCGCTTGGTTGAGCTTGGATTGAGAGTGAACCCAAAGAAAACGGCAATGAACATTCATTGCCACGGACAAGGCCACCGACAAAGCTCTTAAGGAACTCCTCAGAGAAGATGAACCCCCAGTTGCAACAGTCATGAGGGATCTCGGAGTTGATCATCAAGCTGGACGTCGGAGACGCATCCCGGTGCTCAAGCAGCGCCTGAACAAGGCCAAGCAGAGGAAGATCAAGCTGAGGAACCTCAAACTCCCAGCGTTGAAACTCAGGCTCCGCCTTCATCGAGGAGGTATCCAGCCGGTTGCCCTCTGGGGTATTTAAGGACAAGGTTTGGCCCCAAGATACAGGACAGCACTTTGACAAGCACTGGCCCAGCAATTGGGACATCATGCCGGGGGACTACTTGACAGCGCCTATGATCTGCACAGCGACAAATACATTGACCCCGCAGACCAGGTTGTGATACATCACATCCGTGCCCTGCGCAAGTTGGTCCAAGCCTGGCCAACCAACCAGATCCAATACCTTGAACAGGCCTGGGCAACCACCTATCAACAGCTGCGGACCAAACCTCCAAGAATAAAACTGGCAAGCCCCAGAACTTTTCAGATGGACAAGACCGGAGACACCTCTCCTGCTTGCCAACACCATGTCGCTCCAAGACCCATGGTGGAAATTCGAACTGGCTTTACAGGAGCAGGCTTGGATTGGCATGTCTACAGACAAGTTCACCGGAAACTCCCTGATAAAAACTTGGACGCAGTGTGCAGTGCAGCACAGAGACCCAAAACATGCCCCATATGCCAGGTCCCAGCCACCCCAAAACACAGCATTTGGATGTGTAAGTGGTGCAGAGACCAAAAACATGATGCCATGCCTCCGGAATGGATGGAGAGAATCAATTGTCCTGAAGAAGATCCTTTATGGTCGGCAGGGTGGATTTTGTTGGAACCACAAGACCACAAGCAACAAATCCACCAGTACCAAGGCCATGGAACATGGCAAACCGGCGACGTTGGCCCCACATCAGCACCAAGGGGCATTCACACTTGATGCCACCATCCAACTATCATGTCAGAAGCCAGCTGTGGGTGTTTGGGCTGTGTGTCCGCGCAATGTCCCTTGGACAACTCCGCCGGTTGGGCGCGATATCCCAACCGGCCAACAAAGCAAAACCAGAGCACTGGTGGCAGGTTTGGTGGCCCTGGCCAAGCGCACCTCAACCCCGCTCAAGGCCATTGTGCAAATGGCCACAGTCTCGGAAGCTTGGACCAACAAGCGCCACAGGCAAGCCTACCTCGATCTACTGGAGGACATCCACGAACAGGACTTCCAAAGGAAAGGGTGACCGTGCTGTACATCAGCAAAAACACCCGTGCCCCGGAAGCACCAGGCAATGAACCACAGGTGAGACGCAGACAACGGGATGCGGCTTTGGTGGCATGGGACAAGCAGATTCACTCCATGACCGACGTCACACAGAGTGGCAGAAACTCGTGACCAAGACCATGCCCTCATCTACAAACATGCGGCAGCAAGGCTGGCAAAGATCTATGGTGAGAAGAACCATTACATCCATGACAAAGCACCCCGACAACAGGGCAAGCACACCAAGCAGCACAAGAAGCAACTGGTGCAACAATGCAAGCAACCTTGGAACCCATCACATCATCGATGGGCGCCATGCAGGAGTGGATTTCACTGCACCGCCTGTGGAAGGGCTCACGGCCAGCCTTCTTGAAGAACGCCTTCAAGCGCAGAACACTTCAGAAGAAAACCACTAAACCTCAGACGATCAAAGAGCTGTTGGCCCAACAGGACACTCAGCCGCCTGGACCAGATGCTCACTTCCTGACGGAAACGGCAGGGTATCTAAAATGCAAGAAATGTGGAGTCAACATCCACAAGCGCACCAACGAATCTGCATTCACGGACTTTGTGAATAGCAAATGTGTAGATCAAGCCTACACGCAGGAGCGCCAAGGGCATCACACCCATGCCCTCTGGCAGAAAGGAGACAAAGTAACATGCACCTTGTGCGGCGTACAATGGCACCTTGATAGCCAGAAGCGAGTCATAGCCACCACAGCCTTCAGGAAAGAGAGCAGAGGCGCAGGACTCAAAGGCTCCCCGCCGCTCAGCGACTACTTCAAGGCAAGCCAGCCCGCCAAGGAGAAGGACGCTCCGACAGACAAAAGACCTACTCCGAGGAGGCTGCGCTTTCCAACTGCTTTGGATGCACAAGACCAGAATGAACCTGATGGAGAACCCACAAGGGCAGAAACAGCACCAGCAAAAAAGAGCTCAACCGAGCCCTCAGACGAGGCCACGGAGGCCGGCCAAGCGGCCAAGGACGAAGAGGATGAAGCTGAAATGGCGTGGACTTTTTCTAAGACCTCATGAACAAGTTCCGCCACTGCAGCGTTGCTGATCTGCCAAAAAGCGCACAGAGACTTCTGCAGACGAAAAGGCACCTCTAGGAAAAATACATACATACATACATACATACATACATACATCAAGCTTGACCTTTGCAAGCGCGGTGCGGGCGACGCTACTGTAGTGGCCTGGCTCCTTGAAACAAGGCCACCAAAGGAATGGAATGAAAGGACTGAGAGAATCCCCAGTCCTTTGAGACGAATGGATTGGTCGGCAATGGCATGTTTGCTGTGAACGATTTATTTTTGTGAAAGAATTCGACTTCAACGATTCGTCCTTATGTTTCTCTCGAACAAAGACTTCTCTGAACAAAATCTATGGACCTCTCTGGACGCACGGTTTTACAGCCGTCCTCGCCAGGGCCGAGAACTTCGTGGGCATCTCTCGCCGAACGGAGGTGGAGTGTTTGTCCTGAAACACAGAGAGGAAAACCCCACAGGATCCGAAGAGGAACTTATGGTATCCGATGTGTGCGTCATCCAGTCCTTTTTTGCTGTTGAAGGAACAATTTTTTGAGCTGCGATGACAAACAACACGCAAAGGGACCAAAAAGACTGTAAAACCTACGGTGTTTCAGCAGTATCACCTTAGGTCAGGGGGACTGCCGACGCCACGTCACTTATGAAGGAATGTGTGCTTTGGACGGGCCATATTCCTGAGCATTCCCACACAGAAGCTTAGTTTTGAAGCACAGCAAAGTCTGTAAGGGACAGATTCAGGAATGTCCGACATGTTTGAGACTCAAGTTTTTTCCAACAATCTGAGACATTCTTGAAGATTCCTTTCATTGACGTGCCATGGATGGCTTGGTGCCTTGGCCTCCTTTGCAGCCTGTACCTGCTGGCAGTGGCTGTCCCGTGGGAGGGTGAACCAAACGGCAGGCTTGCATCGCTGTCACATGGCTGTGAGTCAAAAGAAGGGGGACCTTGGTTGACCACCAAATGAATAGACAGACTAGACTAGACCACTGATGACCACTGTGCAGTCAGCAGTGAACGTGTCTGTGTCTAGGCTCCAAAATGTTTTCCTCCGCATGCTTTGAGTCTATCCAAGAATTTATCAGAATTTATGTGTGAACTTGCTTCTCCAGAAGGATCCGTTTGCGCTTTACTGTCTTGATCTGCTTTGAGGCCTTGACTAAGCTGGAGGCCTCGATGCACACTCCGCGACCAAGTCCGAAAAGCACCGACGGAGCAGACTGCAGCGGAGTGAAGGACATGATCGTCACGATGGCGTCCTTCCGCTCGAAAGGTTCCGGTCGGGCTTCACGACACCGACCGCGGCTTCAAAAGTGAAGATGCGGCTCCAATGAGCTTTGTGACGGCCTTTTTGTTGAGAAAAGCGTTGCTGAGAGATGGAAAGAAGCCGTCTGAGTCAGACATGATTGAGAAGCAAAGAAATGTGTGTTTGCACTTCGCCCAAGAGATATAACTGCCACGTCCGTTGCAGGTGCCTAGCGTGGGAATCATTGGCCAGGCACCTGCCGATAGCTTAAACTCGGCCTGCTTTCAAGTGCCAGCTCGTTGCATTGAGAATCATTGAGCCTATGCAAGATATGCAAGTGCTTTTGTTCTTATGTTTTCATGTTCACAAAGCAATCACAACTTGTGGCTGCAGAGCCGTGATGACCGACACGAGGGCCACACGATCAAATTCTGATGGCTTGTCATGTTCCTTCATCTCTACCGAAACAGCAACGTCAGCCGGTCAGCTCCTTCATTAGGATCACTCTAAGGCAGACAACCAAAAGGGTCTACCGGCGTGTTCTTGGACTAGTTCGATTCCTTTCGATTCGACCGGACGGTTCAAATCATTTCGCCCGACGCCTTCCAACGCCAATCAGTCACTGGATGTCCGAAGGGGTCAGACAACGCATCCGATGCAGCTTGAGGTGGGTGCAGACCGCCGGGCCGCAGGACAAGGCACAGATCCACTGACGGCTTGAGATTTGTCATTCAGAAGCCTGCATGCTTGCAAAAAACATGCTATATGTTGCTAGCTGCTAGCCGCTGCTGGTCAATTGGCGACTCACACGACTGAGACACCGAAGGAAGAAAGTTGGGCAGAGGAAAGCAGCGCATCCAGCATGGCTGAAGAGACATTTTTCTCCGAGCTCCTCCATGTCGTCATTCACCATGCGGACTCTCCTGCCCACAACACTTCCTCGGCACCCTTAGGCCCTAGGCCCTTAGGTCGAACCACAACAGCTTTTCGTGCAGCTAGGTTGGAGGCCATCGCTGGTAGGGCCCTGTAATGCCTTTGTTACCCTGACTCAAAGTTTTTTCACATTCTCTCTTCGAACTTGGTCGGCAGCTTGGTTGTCTTTGTGAAGGCTCCGACCCGGGTGCTGTTGCCGCACAACTACTGCGGTCGATTCAAAACCACCAGGCATCGCGGCATCGCGACATCGTTTGGAAACGTATGTTGAGGTTGGCATTTGTGGCTCTTTAAGTCTGCAGAAACATCAGTATTCAGGTGTAATGGGTCGACATTTTCTTAAAGTTTCTTGCAGAGGTCACCTCTGCCAAAGACATGTCGGCTGCGCCCTATCGGCTGGGAGCTGAAGAGCTGTCAGGACTTCTGAAAGGATCTTAACGGGTTGGACCTAGGGTTTTCAGGATCAAATCGGATCAGGAGTCTTTCTTTCAAATCGAAGCAGGCAAAAAACTTTCTTTCCACAGCTCTTCAGCTCCACATCTGAGGCCAGGCGATCTCCTGTCCAAGGCTATGAGTGCAGAAACTTCAGATGTGACCTGGATGTGACTTCAGTGCGAAACGCTTCCCTTGAAATTCGACCAATGCTTGGTGTTAACCGAGCTTTTTTCTGTTTTAAACGAGCTATTCGTGTACTTTTGATTCGTGTACTTTAGTTCTGGTCTTGTTGAGGTTGTTAGCCTGTCGTGTGTGAATTGTTGTGAATCTTTTGTGGGGTCTGAAGTGTTTGAATGTGTAGGCAGCATGGCTCTTTGTTGACAAGGTTGTAATTGTAACAAGTTCTATATACAGATTCAAAACTTGGATACTTCCATAAGCCTGCTCACTTCTGTCCTCCTTTCCTGTAATTCAAGTGTTGCCGAGCAAAGTGCTGCATTGTTGAAAACCACAGAAGAAGGGCCTGGTTTGAGCAGACTCCGATTGTTTAAACTCAAGAGACAAGAGGTGAAGTCTTTCACAAAGAGACGCCATGTTGGGAGAAGATGGATGAGCCTAGAATACCTTGTCAGAGAGTTTGTTGTGTTAGGTAATATAGATGAATTCTGCGAACTTGGATGGAGTTAGTCTGCCTGTGTAACATGTTTCGTTTCCTCAGACCTTGGCCGGCTAGCTAGAGTATGACATGCAAAGCCAAGCAGTAAAGTCAATGTGATGCGGTGATGCAAAAATGCAAAAATATGTTCAAAAAGAGGTGAACCACAAGGGGTCTTATTGATGGTGTAGATGGAGTTTTGTTTTAAATGTAACACGTGTTGAACGAACCTAGCTGCTGCGAGCATTGATGATAAGAGATGCCCGATGCTATTGTAATCTATTGTACTATGTACTGTGCGGTTTTGTCAATCGGCAAGGTACAGATCCCAACTTCTTCTGCACCCTTTCCAGGGCAAAAGGCGGGAGCACCAAGAAGAATAAAGGACAGCTTGAATGTGAATGTGGGTCTGTAGTAATTAAAGAAAATATCCCAGCAAGTGCAACACGACTAGCACACATCAGAGTTTGTTTTTCACAACCACACCATGACTCCAACCTGGACACATTTTACTAAAAGCTACACCATAGCCTCAACCTTCAAACCACCAAAAGGAGAACACACCAGACAAGACAATCAATCCAACCCCTGCCCGGTGTTAGGTGTAACTTCTCCCCAGCCTGGTTTCAAAGATGTTCAAGTTTGATTCGGCCCACGGCGAGGGTGCTATGATTATGGTGTTTGCCTTTTCACGAGCGATGAAAACCTGCTGTTTCATCAGTGATGAGCGAGTACCATGTCACCAGCAGTGAGCCAGTGAGCCCTTGCGACTTCCCTACAACCTGGGAGCGATAGCCTCCACTCTAGTAGCGTTCTCGCTAGTAGCGATGCCCTTGTTGCTAATGGCGATGGCCTCCAACCTCTACCACGTCTCTGGTTCATCGGTGCTGCGGTGTGCACGAGCGGGTGCGTAGACCTGCAGTTCAGTGATGAGCGAGTAACTGACATTCACCAGTGAGCCCATGCGTTTTACCCTTTGTAAATGACAGTTAGAGAAGTCACCATGCATTTCACGAGAGGAACGAACACACCAGCGGTAACAACCTGCGGACCTCGAGTGCGGACGGTTTCGCAGTGAGAAACCACGGCGTCACCCATATGAAAGATCTACAACTTCCGTCAAAGGAAACTTAGCACTTTACCACTCTGAACAAGCGAGATTCGAAAGGACTAAAGTGTAGCGCTTCCGGACATCCTACCTCCCTATATATATAGGCACATGTAGGATCATAAAGGCACATATAGGATCATGAGAAGACATTGTCTGACTGGTGTGGAAGACCCACTTCACCTTAGATTCCACACACACGTTACAAACAGTTTTTTGCAACTCAGAGAGAGTAGTGAGTCATACCACGAATCAATTGCTTGGCATTTGCACAGTCATACAGCTGTGGCTCCTTGCCTTTCTTTGAGTTCCTTGCCTCTTCTCAAATCATTATAGGCCGGCGCAGAGGTTCATTGCGATGCAGAGAACTTGGACTGGAAACGCATGTGATGCACGCTGTTCAGTTCTGCGTCAACGGTTCTCTTTACAATCCAACAGTTACAGGCCAAAGGGCCGACTGAAGTTATTTGATAAGTTTCAGCTTCCTCAACTTTCTTGAGGTGTCTCCAGATGATCATGACGATGACGACGATGACGACGACGATGACTACTCGGATTCTGAAGTCAGCGACTAAGCTCCGGAGAGAGAATTTGCCCACCGCCATTCAACATATTTTGCTTTTTGATTCCATTTGCTGAGGCTTGAGCACAAAATTGCAATTCACAAGGGTACATGCTGGCAATATGTGTTTCTCCTACTCTAGGACTCAAGTGGATGGTATATGCTGTACAGGTACAGGTCCATGCTGATACAAGCAGATATAAGTTATACAGTGCCTTCCACGGAAACACTTGACTGAAAGAACTTTGATCATGGCGTAACTCAAGCACAGTTTTCTCACCTGTCAGGATTGGAATGAGGATGGACAGAGGCCAAACAATCATGGTGAAACTCACATTTTAGCAACACAATCAGCAACTAGTCCGAGCTCTGGTATTTTCAGTGATTTGCCACTCTCAGATGCGCCTTGCCTCTTTCGTGTCGAGACTGCAATCTAGCGCCTAGTCATCGCTGCATCGATGCACCGATGGCGTAGGCTGGTTCCGCCGGGCAAAGTGGATGGGTACCTCAACGTGGGGTCCACAGGACCATAGAAGCTGATCGAGATCGATCTAGGCTTCGCCGAGGCTTCCGTGTGAAGAAACGAAGGCTTTCAGAAAAAGACCAACCATGGTACGTTTTCTTTTTGCTTCGCAACCCCATTGTTTTCTTCTTCCCTTCTTTTTTCAAAGATGCTTTGCTCCATTGCAGCTAACTGAGTTGGCTTCGCTCCTGGCGGTGAGTTTGGTCCGAAGTTGTATCTGCTCAAATTTTGCAGGACACCATCTTCGACTCTGCAAACCCTGTGCATTTTGGAATACCAAGGGCTGCAAAGTGGGAACCTCAAATACTTGGGCGTTCTTGTATGACACTTCTTGACTCATGGAATGACAGGTCTTATATGGAAATTAGGTTCTGTTCATTTTTTGTCCTTAGGACGGCAAAGACTGCAAGTTTTGTCACCTGTGCGAACCTGGTGAGAAGAAGCGTCGCAAGAAGGTAGGAACGCGTGTTCCAGTGTTATGTTCTACTTTTTGTCCGCTGTGCATTTTTGTTTCGCATTTCTTTTATTTCTCAACTTTGATATTGTTTTTTCTCGTTGCCTTTGGTATTACATTTAGACCTCTTTGCCTTTTGTGTTTTGTCCTTTGCCAAACAGAGATTTGCCAGGAGAAGAGTGCCTACATCCGAACCATCACCCGCCGGCCAGACAGAGCGCCAGGACCAGGGTGGCAAGGGCTTTCAACGAGACGTGCCATGGTGCTACCCATGCGACATAGTGTCTTTGCTTGCTCCTTGCATGTTTTGAAAGACAACAAACTCCAAAACTGTTCCTTTGCGCAGCCTGAAGGAGCGCCAGCTACTGGTTCTCCTGCTTTGCTGGGTCGGCGATAGCGTGCTGTTTTTTGAAAAGGCGCCAATCGACCTGCGCCGGTAGGAGAAAGTGCCCCGCAAAGTCCGGGATCCGTCAGGTGTTTGAGACGGAGAATCTCTTCATGAAATATCGACCAATTCAGGGGATCTCTTCATGAAGAACTCCAAGAAGTCTCAAACACTTTAATTCAGAGATGTAGCAAATATGGCCCTTTAAAATGGAAGAAAGGAACTTCTGCTCCTTTTGTTCCTCAGGTGTGAACAAACACTTTCAGGGCCGTGAGACAGTGACTTTAAGGTTTAGCTGCCTGTGTTTTCGTGCTTTCCATTTTGCAGCCAGCAAGATCATCTTGGCATGCCTGAAAGGCGCCCCGGGGCGTCAAAAAGAGTCATTTCTTTGGAGCTGAGACTCACCAGGTTTTTCTCATCAGTGTGCTTGTCATAGACCCGCTGCTTTGTTGTCCACACGGCACACATGAAATGACGCTTCAAGACCAGTCGTCCTTCAGGCAAAGCCCAACCGATGTATTTTGGTGATGTAGAGGCAGCATTCGACGTAGGCACCAATCGTAGAGCAATCGCTTTTGATGTCTGCCTTCTAAGCAGACACAACTTGAGGATCAGGCCGTGATGATAATGAAGTTGGGCGCCATTTCACTAGTCAGTTGCTGTCAGGCCGCAATCTTGTTGCAAGAGGGTGTCAGCCTTTGTCCTACAGCCTCTCAATCTGAGTAAACCTCACTCCAGATCACATAGATCAAACCTCAAGCGCCCTGAGTAACGCATGCATGTACGCAATTAGTGCTCAGTACATGTTGCAGCTCACCACTAGTCAAATCGCGTTTGCCGAGAGACCTGTAGAAATTCCGGATCCGCAATCTTTCAATACCATGATGCCACGGGTTGTTTATTACAATTATCTAGTTGTGGAAGGCAATTTTTGTTTGGCAGTTGTTTCGCTTGTCTTTGATAGATTGCGCAAGTGATTTTGCTCCAATTTTCCTCGACGAGCTTCTCTTGCTGTCAAACGTCTGGGAAGATAGTAGATGTTCATTAACCAGTTGAAGGCGAGTGGCCGGTTTTTATAAAGGACCAGAGACAAAGCTGTTTTCACCAAGACTTCATGATACCGGCCATCGGTGGACACTGGCAAAGTCATGTCTCACTCCTGCAAGGATGCCAGCCACTGAGTTTCACGGCCAAGGCAGGGCGCAGACACGCATGTCAAATCAGTGTTGGCCTTTTTCTTTCTTTTCTTTACTTCCTTTCTTTCCTTTCCTTTTCTTTTCCTTTTCCCTTTTCCTTTCCTTTTCCTTTTCCCTTTTCCTTTTCCCTTTTCCTTTTCCTTTTCCTTCCCCTTCCCCTTCCGCTTCCGCTTACGCTTCCGCTTCGGCTTCCGCTTCCTCTTCCTCTTCCTCTTCCGTTCCTTCCTTCCGTCCTTTTTTTCTTTCCTTTTTTCGTTGCCGTTCTGCCAAGTGAATTCTGTCACCTGTTTCCAAGTCCGTATATCAGTGTTGGAACTCTGCATTTGTTCTCATTTAGTCTTCATCTATTTCAAATATTGATGGTGAGTGCGGCATTGAAGTCCAATGGCGATAATTGTTGCTTTGTACAACTGGTGCGGCCGGTGGGTGAGCCGTATTATTAACTTTCCACTGACGTCCGAGTAGTATTGCAGTCTACAGCCTTCGCATAACGCTTGGCATAACCTGTGTTTCATCCCCTGACCTTTCAACAATCGAAAGGGTGCAGAACGGTACCTTCTCTTGGGAGATTGCTTAACTACTGTGCCACTTTGAGGTTGGAGGCCATCACTCTTAGGTTGGAGGCCATCGTTGCTATTAGGTTTAGGGTCCAAAGTGTGCCATAGTGGTCAGCGAACCCTCGAATGAGGAAGTCCTCACCTGAGATGTCAGGAATATTTGCCGCTTCGACGGATTTGAGTCCCTCCTGTTTTTTCTGCAGGCAACACGAGAAGCCTGTGCTTCCAAGCCGCTGCTCGCGCTTCTGGTGGAACAAGCTCCGAGCCGGGAAAAGCACTGAGATGTCTTGTATTGCAGGAACATTCTTTGTGCTGGTCATGCTCTTGTGTCTGCAGTTTGTGATTTACTTAGTTTACCAACATCTTGAGGTGTAACGGATTACAATTGCTGTGTGCCGTTTCAGCCTTTCTTGGCTACAGTGTTGATCGTGCTGCTCTGAGCTGCAGCCAGGCTGGACAAGGGAAGTCGGAAGTAGTAGTAACTAGTAGTCGTAGTAGTAGTAGTAGTAGCAGCAGTAGGAGGCACAAAGTTCATACCAGCTGTTTTGTTAGGTTTGACTTTAAATTTTTGTGAACCCATGCCACCTTCAGGGTTGGGAGATTGGAAGCAGAGTGAGCCTGTGAGGCTCATGTCGGGCCGCTTAGATAGTCCCTCCTTGAAGCTGCCGGATGCCCAGTTCCGTGAAGACTGGACACACAAGTTTCAATCTGTCCAGTTTTTGAGGACAATACATGTTTCAAGATGTTCCTGAGCGTTACACGTCCCAGAGCCACATGAGCTATGCTGTTTGCAAGGCACAGTACTTAGGTGGTACGGCCCCTGCAACTGTCATTGAGTACCACCAAGTACACTTCCACAAAGTGTGCTGTGCAGGTGTAGGTTGCTCGAACGATGAAACACAAATAGGGGCTTTTTAGTAAGGCCCCCTAAGACCAAAAATAATACTCTGACTCTGAAAGGTGCAGAGTTTGGTCTTGAGGAGAGACCTCGTCTTAACTGTTCAAGACCTTTTTGATTCGATGGTGCTTATGCTTTGCTTTTGCTTCAATCATACTTTGCTTCTACTTCGCTTATTCCTGGCAAACAATCTCTTCACCGATGCAAACAAAACGTGTTTGCCTGAGTATGCAATACTGTACATGGGCTTGGTGCTGCCAGGCAAGAGCTGTTGCCCAACAATGGCTACATGGAGAAGGACTGCGCCAGCAGGAATACTCTGTTTTTTCATTGCCTGCAAATTATGGCTGATGGGTCAAACATGCCTCTCACACCCTACCTCAAATCTACACATCGTATGGAGAGTACGATGACAACTTGTCACCAAAAGGCTGCATCAGACTTTCATCTTTTCAGCCAAACCAACTTCAACCCGACTTGCAAATCGGCCTTCAACCTAATAGTGGTGGCAATAGCAATCAAAGAAAGGCAACGTCTCTCCAAGCTCCTTTGATAAGGCTTGCCAGGGAGTTGCAATATTTGAAGTATGCCACGGCATTTGGACTGACAGCTTTGTTCGGTGGAGATTGTCCTGCAGGATGTCACCGCTCTCCTACCGGACTTCCTCGCCAATGAGTGGCGGAATAACGATTGGAGAGGCTCGAAAGACCTCTTCGGAGACCCTTTTTCTCGGGAACTGAAGGCTCTTTGCTTCGAAAGACCAATTGAATTGTTTGAAAGCACAGAAATTTCTCCAGCCAGAAAGTGTCAACTTGACAAACTGACTTGAAAGCCAAAGTCTGTAGGTGTCGAGAAACGAGGTGACACGCCAGATCCTTTGGCACCGCCTGGAGCCGAAAAACACATGAAAACGCATATCACCCAAGCAAGACGGCAATTCTTGGTTTCCTTGGCATCCTTTTCTCCGAGAGCATCATTCTTCAGGCCTCATTCCTACTCCACAGGGCTCAGAACTCAGGGTGAGGTCAGAGCTGTTGAAGATTTGGTTTTCGTCGATTTCAGACTCAGCTCGCCAATTCAAGGCTACCACCTCCAATACAGCCACAGACTCAGACTTGTAACTTCTATAATATGATTATACATATATATATATATATGTAGTTCTATATGGTATATTTATAAATAAATTTGGAGCTTGACCTTTGCACATGCGGTGCGGGCGACGCTACTGTAGTGGCCTGGCTCCTTGAAACAAGGCCACCAAAGGAATGGAATGAAAGGACTG